GGGCTTTTCCCTTCCAACAATAATGGAGAAATCAGACTATCTTTTGGAATAGAAACAGAAATGGCATCATTATTTATATGACCTGAAATTTACCTTTTTACATCTCTCAAGAAGATATAGACAAATGCTGTTCATTTATACACTTAAGTAACTTCTTTTGAAACAACATTGGAATTATGCTGATTACATGATCATGGTTTCGCCAGAATTCTACTTAGCGTTCATTTCTATGTAGTGGTCTCGGCTAGATTGACACACATGGAAACCATATTTACAGGAAACTGCAGAAATGGACAATTTTTAAATGATTGAACAGCTTTGCAAAAAGCTGCAATCTCCTTAAATAAAGTTGGGAAGAATCTTGTTAATTCAGCTCTGTCTGGGATAATTGTGGAGCCATCATCATGGCTCCTTCACACCATCATGTTCCTATACCAAAGGCATTCTCAGATAAAAACATTCTGTGCCAGCTACTCTGGCACTTGACTTTTGGGAACAACTGGGACAAAAAAGAAATGAAGCCTCTGTATATTACCTTAATAATCGGAGAATTTTACACTTGATGATCAAGGAATGATTGTCAAGAAAAATTAAGACCAAAAGGCTGCTTTACATGTTGGCATGGGCAATGTATAGAACGCATAGGAAAGGCTTTTAACAAATGTTAAGCAACACTATAGCTAAACAAAATCAAAATAAAGCAAGATAAAATCTCAATTTCTAGTAAGCCTGTTATGAACTCTGCACAGAGTCTGTATATTTTAAAGGGTACATACTGTATTATATTACATTATATTAACTATATTCTATTCTATTCTGCTGTACTGCAATGAGGAATGTATCAGTGAAACGATGACTGTCAAAACGCAGGGTTCCGATTTGACCACGAGGGGGGAGCATTGCTCATCACACATACCCAGGGCACACTAGGCTTTCTCTGTACCTACCAGCTGTTCAAGATAAAAATAACCTCTGTATTTCTGTGCTATTACCTGCAAACGTGCATGATACCACTAGAATAATACGTTCCCAGGACAAGCACAAGAAAAAAGAGAACCTTTTAATTGTAGGTAATTCCTAGCTGAGAGGAAGAATATATGAACAAACTGCATTTTGGTCCCCGGAACAAAGAGTTGCACTGAAAACTTCGTATTAACATCGCAGAATCTTATCCCAGTAGGAAAAAAATTAGAAGGTGGTAGAGATAACCTGTGAAAGTGGTAACGAAAGAAACAGAGAATAGTTTGGGTTGGAAGGGTCCTTTTAAGGTCATTTAGTCCAACCCCCCTTCAATGAGCAGGGACATCTTCAACCAGATCAGGTTGCTCAGAGCCCTGTCCAGCCTGACCTTTAATATTTCCAGGGAGGGGGCATTTACAGCCTCTCTGGGCAAACCTGTTCCAGTGTTTCACCAACGTCATTGTAAAAAATTTCTTCCTTATATCTAGTCTGAAATGGGAAATAATAATTTTCTCATTTGTTGTCAGTTTTGTAAGCAAAAGAAAATTGCAAAAAAGAAAGTTTGTGAATGTAAATAAAAGTTATTTCCATGTGACTGCTTACAATTTTCCACTCAATGTGTTGAAAAGCAACTATTTCACATGGGAAAATCAGGTTTTCCAAAATGGTTTAATAGTATTCTATCCCAGAGGAAATATTTGATGAACTACTTGTTCTGATGATGTCTCTGATGGGGCTGTGTCTTTATGTGGGAAATGGCAGTCCCGTACCTCTTTTCTTGGAACTGAAGGGCAGTGCTGAGTAACAAGCAGTATCTCCCACAGAAAAAAAGTCAGTAATATGAAGATTAGATTAACATAAGAAGGAGACTAGCCTACGTTCAAGAGACTTGCACATTATTTTGAAGTAGTTAAGACTGAAATCTAAGGCATGACTGCAGCTTACATAGACATCCCCAAGCTAGTTATAACATAGTTGGCTTTGGTATGGATAGACTCAGTCATACGAAGCTCTGGCATGGATAGACTCAGGCCTATGAAGCTCTGGCATGGATAGACTCAGTCATATGAAGCTCTGGCATGGACAGACTTGGGCATATGAGGCTCTGGCATTGACAGACTCAGTCATATGAAGCTCTGGCATTGACAGACTCGGGCGTATGAAGCTCTGGCATGGATAGACTCAGTCATATGAAGCTCTGGCATTGACAGACTCGGGCGTATGAAGCTCTGGCTAGATTCGTATGTAGTTCCTCGCTGTCTCAATGAGCTTGATCCCCGTTTCTGGAGGCATGCCCACTTAACTATTTTTGGGTAGCTTCAAGGTAACTCTGACACAGAAGGTACCTTTCACACCTGTGACTACAGTGTAGACATGCAGCTCCAATGCCTTTGTGTTCACATGGGGTAGTTACTCTGTGTGTCCCTGGTCACTTGGTTCCCCATGTAGCAGAAGGACAAATGCATTAGAAACATTTTGGCACGTATGTATTCCTATATCAAGATACTACAGTAACTTCCTTCCAGATCCTGCAAAGATTTATGGAAGGTACACACTGCAGCTTTCCTCTCTGGGTGCAGGATGCCTGAGCAGTAGCACAGGGGAGCAGACTGAGCTCAGCTGGCTGCAGGGCTCCCGCTGATGCTTATGGGTGGTGGTGAGAAAGCTGAGGCCCTCACAGTAAATCTACACAAACGGGCACCTGTTTAATACAAATACACGCCAGCTACATACTGAACAGAGGCTGCGAAAACCAAATGCCTTTGACCCTGCATAAAAGTCCAGGCTGAGTTTCATCTACCAGCAAACTACATGTGAGCACACAATAGCTGTAACCTCAATCTTTCTAACTCCTACTCTTCCGCTTAATCTTTTTTTCCAGCATGTGAAAGACCATGTACTGGCACATGAGAAAGCGTATGTTTGGGTAAGCATTTCAGTACTCTGCAAAAAGCTATGTATTAGCCATGGATAATGTTCCTTTCTCCACATCCCTCACATGGCTGGTAAGGAGATTTGCTCTGGAGTCAGTAATGGACAGAGCAGGTTGCGCAATATTTGTCAAAACAGAAGTTTTATCCTAGCACTTTCCTTTCTAAGGCGCATCATTCACAATTTTTCTCCTGATTTCTATCAATGAGGTCATTAGCTATAATCTGTCTCTACAGCATCTAAATGAAAAACATTCAGCCTACAAATGCTCCTTGCATGGTTACAGTTGCTTATTCACTGTAATCAACTGGTCCCATGGTATTGGTCTTTTCCCTAAGGAGATGAGCAGAACATTTTTTTACAGGAGAACAAATAGACAGTAAATAACTAACACCACACAAAGACTAGCAACTTGCAAGGAACCAAATTACACCCTTAGTCTTCAAGTCAGCAGGAAACCTTCACTTCTCGGTCCTCCCAACTAAACAGGTGCCCCTAATCTTTCCAAGACCTTGAGAGCACAGGCCTTCAAATGTAACCTGGTCCTCCAAGTTAGGGATTCCTGGATCTACTCTCTTGGCTGGGCTGATGCCCCTGCATTCTCCTAAAGAAGCCCCAGTGTTTCTGCATCCACCTGGTCCTGCCAGGACTGCAGACTTCCAGTAAAGCCACTGCTCAGCTATCACCCACTGCAGTAGGAAGAGTGGCCATTCTGCCCATTCATTTTTCTGAGGCCTTGATAATTACATACAGCACTGCACATATTCATGAACATCTCAAGAGTCACATATTATTTGAGTATTTATGTTTAATTTCTGCATGACCACAGAAAGAGTTGTCAATGGTACTTGTTAAAGACTCTTTTCCTGACAGACACTTAGCTCAAATGTGTAAATAATATGACCTCTTAACAAAATAATTGAATTTTCCTAAACAGTTGTTGCTAAGGAGCTTGTTTTAAAAAAGTACATATTTAAGTGTCTGAAATAAATACATGTTTCTAGATTGATTTTTCTACATTTTTAGTTGAGCTATTACATTTTCTTCCTATTTATCACTTTTCTAGAAGAATAGGAATTTTAAGTAATTCCTTAAGAGAAAGCAATAAGAGAAAACATGTATCATTCTAAACTGCATGACTCACAATGAGGTTGTCTTTCTTGACCACCAAAACAAAGTACTGTATTATTTACATTTAGGAATAGCTGTGTTTCACTGAGACATACACAAAAGAAAGTGCTAGCTCTAACATTTGTTTCCATTTATTTTGCTACCTAATACTTTAGCAATTGCTTTTGGAGTACTGTGGATTCAGATACTATCTCAAAGCCCTGTGGTACGCAGCTGAGGAGGTGTAAAAGAGTAAACACACCACAGACCTTACAGCTGTTTTTCCACTTTGCTGAGGGTACTAAAACATCTGTGGACATCTACACTACGCTCAGACTCACTTGAAATTATTCCCAGATGCCCAAGAAACCATCTTATGGCTTGAGATTGCTTCAGTTCAGCAATGTTTCAGAAATGTCCCTCTTCTATAGCATCCTTAATAGGACCTCTACACTGATGTGCTCACTCCTGCTTGCTTCCCACACCTGCAGTTTGACAGTGCTTGGCAAATTCCCCCTCAGACAATTAACTGAAGAAAGCTTTGTGTTTGTATTGGCATCATGTAACATGCAATCCTGAAAAACAGAGACACCTCGTGCAGGTTTTTTCTTAGCTCTGTTCTTTTTTGCTTCTCCCATGCAGCCCATCCTAACAGAGCAGAACACAACCCAAAGAAAGTTAGAAGGATAGAGCCTCACAAATCCGCACTTCCTATTAAGCAACTCTAATAATCCAGGATTTTTCTTGCAGGCACTGCACAAAAATTGATGGATAAGCCTTACCAACAGAACAACTAAGTGGTGCTAGGCATTATGTGAAAGGAATTATTTTCCCCCAGAATGGCTCAATGGCTTTTTTCAAGTCTAATGACTATTTCTGTTAAGTCTGTTTCTGGTTACCACACATTTTTTTGGCTTTAGAATAAACTGCAGATGTTTAGGAAACAATAGATTGCATATTAAAATGGGTGACAAAATGTCATAAAATGTTGTCCTTACCATCTGTTTTCTTCGATTCATCTCTCACACTGGACTGATCTTTTTTGTCCGACTTATTGTCTTCCTTTAATTCAACTAGAAAGAAGCAATAAGAAACACTATAAGCATTTTAATGCAGACTGCAGTTTATTAATGTCTGTACCCTCTATCAAATTGCAACATCCAAAGGAGATGTTCCTTAGGACAAAAGGTCTGAATTCACAAGGAACTAGATTAACACATTTTGAGAGAATAAAGCACCAGACAAAAATTATCCAGCTCCTACAGAAAATCAAGTTTTACAATCTACATTTAAATTTATTCTAATTAATAACACCTTTTTAAGTGCACATGCAGACTCATACTCTCTCTAGTTGTATGTAGGCCATTAAATATCGAGCACAACCTTCATTTCAAAATCAGGACTCTGAAACATTCATGTTTTTAAAAGACTAAGACCCTGCAAGACTTTGTAAGGCCCTGCATTAAAGAACCATCTCAGATATCCCAAACAGTCCTATATAATTTTGTCTCACTTTCTCTTACCAGTTTCCTTTATCCATAGGTTCATTTGGGTTGGTCCTTTGATGATGCTAGCAGGGAACAAACAATCATCCTAACACTGATCACTGGCTTTAGAGTCTCTGTAGCAAACCAGGAAAGCAAGGCTTTTGGCAGAGCAATTGTTGATGCAGAATGAAAATGGCAACTTGAGCTGGGGTGTATTTTATGAAGCCAGGAAGGTTAACCAGAGTCATTCTCATTTTCTGTCCTCTATTGGTGATATAGCAGAGCACATCAGACCTCCCCAGACCACCCTTTCATTAAATGACAATGCCAAATGCAAGATCGAATGAAAAATCACTTCAAGGGAAAGCTCTAGCAGAACAGGGCTCTTTCAGCTGCTGTGTCCAAACAGCAGCAAAGAATGTGTCCTGCCTTCAGATATCCAGAGAAGCAACAGCAGCCTGCCCAGGTGGGAGCAGGCAGCTTGTCCTTTCCTCCTGGAGGAGTAGCAGTGAATTTTTGACCCACATCTCAACACAAAAAGCTGTAAGTCTCACTTCAGGATTTTGTAAATGTGAGGTATGTTACAGGGCTGTATTAAAGTGATGCTTTTTCCATTTGTATTACTATTTTTATTACTATAACTATTTCCCAACCTTTGGATCAAGATTATAGGTATTATGTGTTAAAGAGGATCTGATCTGCCTTCAAAATAGTAATTGCCAGTGGATATTTATTTTTGGAACAGCTCAAAAAAAGAGAAACTGTAGAGAAGCAAGGTCTCCCTCTTCTCCATTGTGCCCTAACCACTGGAATATTCGTTATTCTTGGATGACAGAGGATCGATCTCTCTCTCCAATTAAGCTTCATCACAGTATAAAAAAAGGAATGGTTTTCAAATCTTAAAATATTTAACAAGATGGAAAAAAACATGTCCTGTTCAGTTCTCATTCAGAGACAAATCTTTTAAGCTTACTGTGTGGGTGAGAGAAAAATGAAAGCAAAATGATACAGGACAAGCAGCAAACTCCTCAGCTGATCAAACTGCCACTGACGGGCTCCTTGAACAGAGGTGTATGAGCAGCTCCAAGTAGAGTTGAGGTGTCTGTTTGATGAAGGTAGCCTCTAAAAGAAGTGCCCTGTCTTCAGGAAATTAAATTAAAATGTATCTAACAAAGCACAAAAGTCTTCCTGCATTTCCTCCACCGTTGTTCAGCTGATGACAACGGTGAGCTAACAATGCTTTATTTGACCACTGCATAAAGAAGTTGCTTGATCCTCAGTGTGTGCAGGAAAAGATGATGAACATCCACACATATGTTATTACACAGTTTGATCTCTCTGAGAAAGCACATGGGCAGCGAGTGACTGAGAGAGACTTTAAACTCACCTGACAACACAATTTCTGAACTTTCACTGAATATAATTTATTATGAATAGAGGATTTTTGAGTATTGTAATATCTACCCTGCCAAAATGCCAGCAGCAGAGCAGAACGATGATCATAATGATCATTTTGAAAGGGATTACAAAGTCAGAGAAATAATAAGGCAAATACTTTACAATGATATATTAACATACAGGCATAAAGGAAGCTGTGGTGAACCCAGAAATATGAATGCTAAGATTTCATCAATCTCCAAAGGCCCTGCAGTGATTGTATCTCATAAAGGCCGTTCCCCATAAATTAAGGAGCAGAATGTCTTTTCCTGAGGAAGACACTAATTTTCAGAAATCATTATAAATCTTTTCAAACTATTTTTGACACCTGCATCAGAGAAACATTGCAGAAAAAGGTACTGTCAAAATCACTAGAGCACGCTTAACCCCTGTATTGTTAGAAGGATGTAAAACAAATGATTTCAGAAGAAAAGTCTGATGCAGGATAACTGGAATTTCTTATATCCCCAACCTTTTTGTCTCCTTTGGGGGCCCATTCCTGTTCACCTGTGTAACACTGTCTGAAGACAAAACCCATACATAACAGAGCGTGACAGCTCTGATCCCCATAGTCCTTCCAATCTAAGAGAAAAACTAAAGATGAAGGGACCACTGGGAAAGGCCAGCAACCAAGTGAAGTACATGAGAATCATATCAGGAATGTTTTAAACAGAATTTCTGCCTCTGCTGTCATCTAAACTCACTGCCTGAGCCTGGGACTTTCAAAGTCTGTATGCTCACTCAGGATTTCCCTAAGAGGATGCTTCCAAGTCTGAGTTTTGTGCTTGTTTTGAACTGGCTGACACTAGCCAAATTTGTGACAAGTCACATGTGACGGTATTGCCATTTTTTGATAATGGCTTCAAGGAGCAGGAGCTGGGGAGGGAAGGACAGTCAAATTGCCAAGAGACAACTGGTATGTTCTTATGGGTCTGATAATATTTTTTTAATGTTTAATGCTATTTTTAAACATTTTTCCACCTTTTTTGGGTGCAAAATGTGATTCTTCTTTTAACTCAGTTTTATAGCAAATTAAAACACTAGAATAAAATTTCTGGCCAAAAAAAAAAAATTAAAAAAATTTAAAAAAAAGGCTCATGACTACCCTAATAAAAAAACTGAGCATACGAAGCATAAATAAAATAACTCTTAAAAACAGAGAGGGGAAAAAATTCTCTGTCCCAAAACATATTTATATCTAAGACTCAGTTCAAAGATACCTTGAATTGGCCTTAAAAATAGTTTATAAGCTAACTTTGGCATCTCCTCTGTCAGTTACCCAAGCAAAGAAGCTGTTCATTGAACCGAGAATATTTGTTTCAGCTTTTCAGCCTGCATATTATAACAGGATGCTCCATTTCCATGAGAAAAGTAATTTTTTCCTTTCTTCTAAAAATGCTAAAGCAGGTATGATGAACCCCATCTTCTACAGAAGAACAGTACTTGGGAGTTAATTTACAGTTTCTGATTCCTGTGTGCCAGTGACCAGGAAGAGGCTCTGGGCTCAGGACATCCTTCTTCAGGACATCAGGTTCCCCTATCACTGAGGTGAAATTCTGGTTTTAGGGCTGGATTTACATTTCAGTGGAAGGAGAGGACTCACCATTCTGGACATGCTGTTTCTCTTCTCCCACTGCGTGATAAGAGTCTGTTCCCTTATCTGTCCTAAGTGCGTTTTTCCCTTGAGAGGCTTCAAGTTTGTTCACCCCAGTTTGCCGAGTCCCATTTACATGATTCTTATTGGAATCTGCAGTTTTGTTTTCTCCAGGATTTGGTTCTTTGCTGTTCTCTGTCTTTGCTGCTGTGGCATCTTCAGCTGGCTTCTCATCCTTTTCATCTGTTTTCTTTTCATCTGTTCCCTGATGAGCGTTTTCCTCTGCTTCTTTCTTAGCTTTTTCTTCTGCATCCTCAGCAAAGAGAGAAGCAAAATGAGAAAAGAAATCACGATTATCAGTCAATTTGACAAGAATCATACAACTCACACAACTAAATCCACTTTACACACAAATAGCATTTACTTAGGTAAATGCAGGAATTGACTTGACAAAGGCAAAAGGGCATGGGAGAACATTTAAGAAAGTACTCTGAAAAAAACACCCCATGTTGGCCTAAATGTATATCATGTGCATGTCCTTTATCACATAAAGTTCACCTTTGAAAATGCGGTTCCTCAAAATTCTTAAAAGGCAAATTAAAAAGAAATATTAGCTATTGAAGGCTCTAGAGGTGCCAAGATTAATTTCATTTTTGACATAAAACAATCAAATGACATGCAGTTTATCTCATACCATATCATGCAGCTAAGCACATAAAAAGTCTTGGTTCTTCGATATCTAGTTTTTTTCCTTCTTGTTGCAGGTTGTTTCCAATGCCAGACTCCTAATCTTTTCCTTCCCACTTACCATTATCCCTTCTTTACGGCTCTGTCCTTTCTTGGCAGACTAATATATTGCTACTGGTACTTGCCCTTCCATCCCCAAAAATCTTACACTCAATCACAGATATGCAAAGGCATAAATTCAAAAGTAAGTGTTGAACAACAGCAGCATCTCAAAATACTATCATTCAGGAAGAAAAAAAAAATTAAAAATCACAGATAAGCCAATTTCCCCCCATTCCAGATACTGTTCTCCTAACCATAGGTACTGATGCAACACTTACTTACAGGGTGTCTTGCAAATTACTTTGGCTTCAGGTGTTGAGACCACTACATTTCTAGCCCAAGTCAGGCTAGAAATTCAGTTAGACTGAGCTGCAAAGGCTCTGTGTGGCTTCCTGCTGATACCTACTGACACTAGCCATTGCGAAATTCCTGACAGCAGATGATAAGGGAATCTCATCAAATAAGTTGTTTCTCAGTCATGCTAACCTGCCTTATCAGAGTCCTGGATGACAAACATCCTGCTCTTGTCACCTCAAGGACAAGAAAGCAGACACTGTGGCTAGAAACCAAACAGGACTAGATAACCAAAGAGAAAATAATTTGCTAATAGGTTGAACTGCAACTGCACATCCTCTAAAGAAGGATTCAGCCAAAGAACATGCCAAAATGACCCCTGAAGAGCACCAAAGACCCCCTCCCTCAGGCAGCTGGAAGAGACTTGAAGCACATGCATAATGACTATGTAAATAAGATAATTAGTTCCAGGAAATATAACGAATATGTAGCATCCTTCTGGGAAATCTGATGCGTGTGTATGTAACAGGGTAGTATAAGCTTTGACTGATGCAGCATACGGCATGCACGATAGGTGGAGCGATGCCCCGTGCATTCAGCGCTGCAATAAAGAATGTCTGCCTTCTAAACTTCAAAACTGAGTCTTAGAGGGGTTTGCTGTGACGGAACTTTACGGTATCACTGCATCATGCTGGAAAGCAGGACATAACCACAGCCCCCCAGTGCAGCCCTCAAGCTAATAAACACGACTGGGCGTGCACAGACCCTGGGCAGAGACTTCTCCCCCTTTTCCATGATCAGTAGAGACTTTATCTGCAAAAGCAGCTGAGTAGCTCAGCACACACTCAGTTTGGAACCTGTGAGCTTACACAGCTTCAAAGTGTATCTATACCCATACTGAGTCTAAGCATGCAGATGTGACAGCCCTATGCCTGTATTTAAGATTTCTGGGTCAGCAATATCCCGGCCCACTCATGGGCAATCAACTGCACTTCAATTGTGATAGGAATCACAGAAGCGTCTCCTGTTTTCCAAGAGATTGTGTAAACTGATGAGCAGATCCTACAAAACACTGAATAAAGTCTACCTTGGACCTATGGAAGTATTCTTGACATCTATAAGGAAGATATTTTGTTCCTTACAGGAGCAGGGTCTTGGCCAGGGAGTAAAAATTACCTAAGAATTTGTGTCTTGTCAAATACTTCTTATGAGTGAATCAGAACCAGTGTTGAGAAAAACATACTAGTAAGATACAAGAAAGAAAGGGGGAAAGCTATCTTCATAAGAAATGCCGATCTGTATTTCCTTGCCAGCAGCTAACTGAAATTAATTAATTTTTTAAATTAATAAATTATGGCTCACACGAATATATAAATTAGATATGAGCCTCCCTTACTTTATTAATCATTCCTGAAATCTATGGTAGCTTCCACGGATAGCTCAGCTATGCATGTTGATATTTTCCCTGGAGTCTCATGGTACACAGAAGGATTCCTCTCATTTAGGGATTGGAAAAAAAATCCTGGATTTTGCACTTGAACCACAGGAGAGAAATTCAGCTCAGGAGACTGGGGGTTGCTACAGCACTGCTGGAGGAATGCCTCTTGTCAAAATTAGCATCAGAAAATACTTTATCTAAATGGTGCTTTGCACATCAGGATGTTTGTTTATTCAGGTTTTTTAATTTGTAGCTATTTAATGATGATCCTTTAAGCAAGAGAGATCAGTAATGAATGCACTTACTTTGCCCACACAGTCTGAGAAATTGTCTATAAATACCACATTCAGGATAAAAAAAGATCACTGATGTTTCTAGGGACAATGACATTAACAAAGGAAATACAATATTCTGCAAATAATTTAATAATAATATCATTATTAATAATAATAATAATAATAGATTGGTTTCCTTCCCTTCTGATCCCCAGTTGCTATTTGTCGTCAATCAACAGTTAAATGCTTTATGTGTCTTTTTTTAATAATTCTTATTTTTATTGGCAGAGCATCTTGGTGCATTGCAAGACATCAGTTTGACGGGGGTCAGCAATTTAAACTCCTGCTGCGCGGCAGGCCCTGCTGCATATGGCTAAGACAGGCAAGGCAGATGGAGGGGGGTGCAGAGGCTTGCTGCAAGTCAGGAGCAAGACAGCAGCTGAGCAAAAAGGTTTTGATTCAAGGGCTCTGGAGTCCAAGAACAGTTCCTTAGTCCTCTGCCCATACAAAGGTATGCTGAGCCATAGGTTTGCATAAATCTTTCAGGATAAAAAAAGTATGCATGCTTGTACTGCTAAATGCACCCAGAGAAACAGAAAATATGTGAAAGTCAATGAATTAAGATGAACAGAAGCTGAGATTGCTTTCTGAATCTTTGACCCATAAACCTGGGCTCTGATCCAAGTTATTGGTGATGAAGTTTGGCAAAAACATAAAGTAAATCAACTATTCAGGGCTAAAGGTTGTCAGCAAGGTAAAGATAAAATGACCTTCTCAAGGGCTCCCATGTCTAATAATGCAGACTGGTGAGCTCTCCGCTTTCAAGCGATCAACTAATTCTTCCATAAACTACCTACAGGTAGTCAGGATTTTTGTATGAGGCAATTAAGAATAAAGTAAAAATAAAACCATTTCCTCTCCATCTAAAGTATTAATAACCTAACATTTATCATCAGCACACTCTGTAAAGAATGGATATCAAATACTGCATCAATACACACTACCAGTAGCAGCATTAGTTAAGCAATGTGCACACATCCACTTGAATCATAACTTGACATTTACATGTGCACATTTAGAAAAAAAGTCTTTATGCAAAGCAGCCCCTGCAAGTGGGCACAAGGCACATTTAAAAGTTAAATATCCAGAATCCATTATGATTTGCTCTATATATTTGTTTTAGGTGAAATGTAAAATAGATTTTATTTATTTTCCCACAGGTCTCTCTCGCATATAGAATTTTTATCTAGTAGATCCTTAGTGGACGAGTAAATATGTATGGCACATGTTGAAATTAAATCCTTAAAACTGTATTGGCTTCATTCACTCAACACTCCTATACAGTGAGACACTGACCATGTTAAAAGCTTTGTTTGGTTGGTTGGTTTTAATATGTTTGGGCCACAAATAACCGCAAAATAGTAAATACCAATTAAAAAAAAAAAAAAAGGTTAAATAAAGCCCCTGGCAAATAAGCAGATTTTGAATTATGTTTTTGTTTTCACTTTCATGGAATGCCTAGAAAGGTTTTTCCTGAATGGCAAGTTTTAATCACAAAAGAAAATTTAATTTGAATAATAATGTGTGCTTTCCTGCACCTTTAGACAGGCCTTTCAGTTGAAAAGGAACAATCTGCTCTGGCAAAGAGGAGAACTAAGCCAAATCTTCCTTCAGCCTTGAAGCCAAGGCCACATAATACATTAAAATGGAATTCCTTCCATTAACATGAAATACAAAAACTCCATTAAATAAGGGTTTGAGTAGCAAGCATTGAGCTCAGAGAAAAATTGTATAACTAACAGTTTCATGAAGAAAAAAAAAAAACAAAAACAGGGATATACTCCTCCCTTTTTGGTTCCAAAGCTGGTTTAAATCACCCAACGCTCAAGGACACCTTGGGCGTCATCCAGCCCCTGAAGGCAAAGGGCAGTCATACCTAAATAGTTCTCAACAGATGGCTCTCATTAGTTCCAAAAGATCTCCAACAATAGAGATTTGCCAATGTCTAAGTTATTATCAGTTTATAATCACTTGCCAATTTTTCCTCCTCTTAACAGTCCAAGGTATTTAAATAAAAACATAGTTGCCTTCTTTTGCAGCTGCAGTAGTCTTCAGAAAACTGCTTTCAGCTATAAACAACAGGTATCATCATTTGCAATGCTGTATTCTATTGTTTGCAATTGGTCCACATACTTGCTGACCTGCAGTGGCCAAAACTGGACACAGCACTGCTGTGGGGGCCTTGTTACTGCTGGAAAGACATGCCAGAGGGGCCTTAGAAGCACGGCCTGCATTTGGGTTTTTGGCTTTTTTTTTTTTTTTTGGTTTGGTTTGGGTTTGTTTGTTTGGTTGGTTGGTTGGTTGGTTTTTGTTGTTGTATTTCAATAGCGTGACAATATTGAACCCTGGTCAATTTGCAACCAACACTGCCGCCATATTATTCTGAAATATTTGCAGTCCCTCCCAGATTGATGACATCATCAGCATTTGCAGCATAGTTCCCAATTCATTATCCAATTTATGACTAGAAATATGAAACCAGCTGTGAATCCAGAATATCCTGTCCTTCTCCCCTGAACTATCATCCATACGTCTTTCAATATTAACAGTGAATAATTGATAACCTATCTCTACAAATGCTATTCCAGAATTATTTTGCACTCACTGAGTCTGACTCATTACTTTAGGGGACCTCCCTTACAACTATTCTTTTTTCCTCTCATTGTCCACATCCTCTTCATTACAGTACATAAGAAAACTATAATGCACAGATGAGTCACAATGTTCCTGTCTTTCTGAACTCAGTGTAGTCTGTTGACCTTGAAAAGCAGATTCTTTCAAACTAGTAGCGCTTACTTGAAGAATTATTTGATTGAAGAGCTAGAAGAAGAAGAGGTCAAAAGAATTTTTATTCTTTCACTAAGAAGCTTGGCTGTTACCTTTGGTGGCTTGTGCTTTCCATTTCTCCCGGTTCTGCTGCACCACCTCAGTCCAGGTGGCTTTAAAACATTTGAAGTCCACAGTGAGTATGGAGCAGTTGAGTGAGGCACTTCCTTCGGACCCAGTGCTCTTGACACTTGATCTTTTAACTTCAGAGGGACTAATGCTATTCAGACTGGGACACAAGATCACAAAACACAGAAGAAATAAGTATCCCCTACACCCAAATACAATGAAGAAGAAATAATGACTGTTAAGTCTAGATAACTTGCTAGAGAAGCAACCGGGAAAAACAAAAACTAAGCCTGAATCCTTCATCCTCCAGACCCTTCCTCCCACCCCTGGGCAAACAGCACAAACTGAGCCAGTATTAGAAATAAAGGGCAGCTTTTTTCTGCTTATCTTTTGGTATCCATAGTCCTGAAGAAATAGTATCACTCGAAGTGTTGTCATTACCTTTGTTGTGCATCTTCAGTCCCTAAATATTCACTGGAGAATCAGACAATTCTAGAAATCAAATATGTGAGAGGAACCTCCTAAAATACACTGATGGTGCCATTAGGAACAGGAAGGAGGCCATCCTCTGTCCAGGGCTCAGTGACCTCAGCTGAGGCTGAAATCAGGCACTCATTTCAGTTACAGACCCTACAGTTGTCTTTCAAGGATGGACACTTCATTGTGCACATATAAATAAAGGCAGCAAGATAACTGACATAGAAAGATATTAGTGCTTGCTCTTTGTGTAACAGCCCAAGTATAAAGAATTTACCTGGGAGAGGGAATCCTGACTTGGTAGCCCTACTCTAGCGAGCACTAGCCAGGAGGCATTTGAATCCCAAGACATGCCTCATCCGTACTAAAAGAGTAGTTTCTCTACAACAGCAGAGCAGGTTGAATGGGCCAAGACTGCTTGCACCCGAACTCCAGGTGAGTTCTGGTGATACTTCACACATTTTCATAACCTTAAATACTGTTACTAAAGTGTGCTTATGCTTCCCAGTCCTCTTTCGTATTTCAATCCCACTTGTACTTCGAGACATGAAGAAATGAGTGCCTCCCAACAACTCCCTGTCCCTTCTCTTTGACACTAGTGACTGAGAGAGCACTAAATTTCACCTGATTGCACGGCTACAACCGTTTGTGCTCACTGCCTTTGAAGGGATGGCTCAGGTTCATGCCAGCCTCCCTCTCTGCCCTCCTCCGGGCTGGAGTTGCCCTGTAACCGGGTCAGGTCACAAGGTGAGCTGCGGTGCAATGCGGATATGGGGCTTTAAGCCACAAGGAAGACATATGCTTTGGGGGGAAAAACGGGGGGAGTTGGGACAATGGCAGCATGTGCAGAGTGAAGGGAGAGGGCATGTGGTTATTCACCTGGAACGTCTGAACCCAGACATGCCAGAGCGGGAAGCTTCATCGATGAGTGGGGTCACAATCTTCTCGGTCATGTCGGTCAGCACAGTAAAAGTGGGTTCCACGATGAAATCAATGAAACCTGAGCAGAAACACAAGCAGAGTCAAGTAGGCAAGGGGAGGATTTATGTGGAGTCACTGCTTCAGTGACAGCAGACAACCACACTGTAAAAGGCACAGTAAAATAATTATACCTTGAAAGAGGGATACACAAACACTAGAAAGGGAAAATGGAGCTACACATTAATCCCTGACCCAAGAGCCTAGATATAGCATGCAATAAAAGGTACCTACTTAAACACTGGAAAGAAAGTATGCCAAATCAGAACACAAACAGATGCATCAGAACTTGTTTTATACAAGGAATATGATACTTAAGCCAAATTCCTGGTAGATTTGGAGAAAACCCAGTTTAAAAAATGAACTCACTAAAAGCAGAAAATCAATATAACAGAAATAATACTTGTAACCTTTGCTGGTGTGGAGTTACATGCAAACCTCCCTTACTGCTTACCAGTGGGTTGCTGTGAATATTCTCTCTTCAGTGTTTGGCCAGCTCTTTCTTGTTGATAATAAACCAGATTTAGATGCCTTCCCCCCCATTTTTTAATATAAGGAAAGGAAAAAAATAAAGGGCCAAATCATTTCTACTTCAGAATACAGGTTGGCAGAGGAGAATATGGCTCTGATTGCAGTGTTGGGAAGAGCAGACTGAAGGGCCCTGTGGTCATAAGGTCATGAGATGAAGGAAAAGCCAAGTTGCATGGAAAAAACGTGAGAGTGAGGAGTTTACAGTACCTTACACCTTCCCCTAAATTCTCACCTGGGGCAAAGGCTATTTCTTATGTTCATTTTAGCACTCCACTTGGCAAATTTCTTAGTCGTGCAGGTACTATGAGTAGTAAAACAATGATGTCCTCAATCCCTCCTAAGGCACACTGGGATTCAGGTCTTTCCCTACTGTTACAATTTTTAAAGATTTGGTATCTATCAACTATTAATTATACATTCATAATATTATAATTTCTCTGACTGGGTCATGACATGTGTCTATGACAAACCCTGACTATTCTAGGTGATAACAGAACAATAAAAGGAGAAGAGACCACATGGGCCAGGCACCTGAATTCATAGATGCTTTGATCCACATCTTGAATGCAAAGCAGTTGAGCATATTTCTAGTTCCATTTCCCTCCCCTGATTTTTGCTGAATTTCTAAAAGGATGGATAATTAAGTGTATTTTCATGCCTAGCCAAATTAAAAACATTACTTGAAAGTTCTCAGAATTTCATACTAACATTCTGTAAATGTGAAGAAAGTATGGATTCAGTCTTATCTGAACATCTGAATCATGTGCCTCCATAACACTATTCAAATTTAGGGAAAAAAAAAGAACTTCCTTCCTCCCAGGGAGTTAATCAGAAATGTATGCTGTATAAAGCCATGACATGAAATTGTGTCCTAGATCACAACCCAGATAATCTGAGCAAACTTCATACAATTTTTTAAAATGCTGGAAATTGTACTAACTGAGAACAGTGCCACAGGAACCCTGAGGATAATGAAAACTTGATTTGCATATGTGTGTGTGTATCTGCCTGTTTATATGTGTCTTCTATTCCCCTTCACTAAAACAAATTTTAACCTCTTCATGACCAAAGAAACCCAAGCCATGGTACCTTGTCACTTCGGCTTGTCAAGTAATAACACTGCTATTTGCTCCATCACCACTAACAACCCGAAGGCATACAAATAAATCTCTGGTATGAGACACATGACCGTGTCACTAACTTCAGCAGTGAGGTGATGGGAGCCACTTCCTGAGGTACTTGACATTCACACATAAAAACAACTTCCAGTTGGAAGTGTCTCAGAAACAAGTTTTCCCTGGGAGAAGTCTTGCATCTCATCAGCAGAGACTGGCAGAGGTGGCACAAGGGACCACAGGTAAACGAACTCAAAGACTTAGGAGAACTTTTCTTTGATAAGTGGTATTTTTTCCTCTATTCCCTATAACATGAGTAAGTTATTAAACTATGTTACCTTAAAATGGGAATTATAATAAAGTCAGGAAACATTCTGCTATCATAGAAAAAAAGTTTAGGACTTTATTAATAATTATGTAATTTATGCAATATTCCCAAGTGCCCCCCACCTCTGTGTTCTCTCTCTTCTTACCTAAATTACTGTGATTTAAATATGGTGATTTAGTTTGCTAATTAAAAAACCTGACTATCAAATAATGAACCTGGGTTTTAAAACCTATTAATGCTAATGACCATTTTATCATCCTTTTTCTTCTTCAGTAGAATGAGCATGATAAATATTTCTGTACCCCAGTGACTGAGATGATTTTACCAATTAACACTGCATGCTGAGGGTGGATTCCAGGCGCACACCTGGTATTCACTCATTCCACCTGAGAACATCTCCATGGCAAACACTGGCTAGAGGACCGTTTCCCTAAAGCCCACCACAAAAAAAAAAAAAAAAAAAAAAAAAAAAAAAAAAAAAAAAAAAAAAAAGAAAAGAAAAGAAAAAGAAATAGAAATAAGATTCATCAGCATGCACTCATCAGCCTTTATCCAGTGTTTTCTGAAGCTGTAATTTTCTTCCCTGCCAGCAAAAGGACAAAAATAAAGGGAAGCTGCTACATTTATCAGCTGTAAAAGAGGACAATGACAACAAAGGCTGATCTCCAGTCAAACAAGATTCCTGCAGTCTGAGACAGCCAGAGAAGCTTTAACCCCTGATATTCTTGTTGGGAAATGCAAGTATTGGATTGGTTTTCTTTGCAGCTTGTTTGTTTCCCCCACTCTGACAAGCAACTTGACTTCTGGACATTAATTCCTCCCGACTTCTGCACTTTGCTGTGGTACAGAAATATTTACCACACTCACTCTACTGAAGAATAAAAAGGATGATAAATTGGGTCATTAACATTAATAGGTTTTCAAACATTCATTATTTGATAGTCAAGGATTTTTTAATTATCAGTTTAAACTCTGAACAATTTCTTCACAAACTGAAGCAACAGGAGAGAGAGACATTCTTTCTTTTGAGGAAGATTTTGATGTTAGATTGCTTCATTTCCATGAAAAAAGTCCATACTGCAAAACCTTCAGTCTGCATTTGTGAAAATCTTTTGTTAATGAAAATGCTTGTCCACTGTGTTGTTGCATCTGCAGTGACTTCAGAGCAGCAAACCAGCAACTACAAACAAGTCAAGACACCAGAACAGGATTTCTAGGCTCTGTCCCCGATAGAACCAAGTTTTATTTCACAAAGGACAGAGGGTTTTTATTTGTAGGATCTGATGACTGACTGCTGGAATTCAGCGAGAATTTACTTTTACAAAGAAATGTAGTAATTACTATTCCAGGGAACAATTTGTTAAGGCTATTAGTCAGGTAAACAAATTAATGGGAAGAGATTATTTGTTTGAGAATATAGCCTACAACTTTCAAAGCCTTACCTCAGCAGATAGCCAGAAAATACAAGCCATTTTGATTTAACAAAGGAGATATTACAGAAAGACACTGCCAATATGTGCAGTAGACTGAGAAATCAAAATTTTATAATGCTAGAAGGCAAGATTTATAGACAGTAGCCTATTAATGTCAATGGATTACTAAACTGCACAAATAGAATATAATGACAAATAGTATGCGACTAAAGTCTGTCTTTGCATACTGACAAGTGCCTCTTTTATAAGGTGGAATTGACCCAAGGGGCATTGGTGCAGAAGTTTCTTGGCTCTCTTGGCCTCCCTAAGCAAAGGAGCAAAAAAGAGGAGGACAAGGAAAACTCATTTTTGAGCAAACACAACCCTACATAGAGGGACCCCATGGGAAGCACAATTCATCTTCCTTGTAAGGAGTGAGGGACATATCTGAAGGCTGATAGAAGGGATGTGAAAGAGAAGTTTCTACATGTGCTTCCCTCCACACCAGCCACAGAGAGTTTATCTTCTCCCACAGCACTGCAGTAGGTGTAGTGTGCCCAGGAGTCCTCAATATGGGTTTTAGCTGAGACTGCAGCAATTCAAGTTTACTGTTTCTTCCCTCCACCAAGCTGCTGGCAGAACACACAGTTGCACTGCATTCTACATACATTCCTACTCTTCTGGGTAGCAGAGGAGTAAATGTTACATGTCTGGCTACCAGGCGAGGCTTGCATAGGGCTTTTCAGGTTCAGATTCTTCGCTGAACTGTCTAGACTTTCAAAGCCATAAAAATCTGAGATTGGGTCCCTCAGAGAATTGCTTGCCTAACAGGAAAAATTAAATATTTTTAAACAGAAATGTCTCTTAGCCACAGATATGAATCTGAAATTTCCTAGGTTCAGGGATATCCTTGTTTTTCTCTTTGAGAGAAATTTCATAATTGAACTTTTTTGTTTGTTTTCCTTTAATACATTCTCTATGTGTCTGGTTTCAGTTCCCTCTTTTTTAGAGTCCATGTTATCTTTCTTTTGTTATTCTATTTGGCTCCCTATTCTCCAGTTGAGGTTAGATCATGTTCTTCTGTCCACGTCACTTGCTTCCTAGGTATAAAAATTCAGACACAAATCTACCTTTTCCATTGGCTTTTTTTTGCTCCCAACCTCATGAACAGTTTTACTTCACTTAGCTCCTCTTGTTTACTCAACAAATACCAGGTTTTTTGCCTCATCCTTCTACTACTTTTTCACTCAAAGACTGGAGGAGAGGTAGAGAAAACACTGTTGGTGAGTCTGTAAAAAGATCTGTTTCTGAATGGGTGGAGCAGAGAGAGGTTTGCTATTTGCTTGGATTCGGTGAAAAATATTGGTTGGCTTGAAGCACTGGGAAGGGAAGGGTGGGAGGAATAAATGGAAAAGCACACAATAGGTTTTGCCCAGGTCATCAAAGGGACTGATATTACATTTTCATATCCACCAATGACACTCATATCATAACACGTTGCCACGTGGACCTCATCTTCACAGCTCAGAAAAACATGGAGTAGTGACATAACCAGGCACTGCAGTCTTCTCTGCAGACACATCAGAGGCAACCTGGTTACTGCATGGAACCACCACCGTAAATTTAATAGCTCCTCAGCTTTGAATTGTTGATCTGGGAAAAATAATGCTATTGTGCTTTATTTCCTCTCTTTACCATAGTTCCAAATGATGAGAGATCACCATGACTTTAGCCCTACAAGGAGGAGTAAGTTCTGCTTCTAAGATGCTACTTCACATGCACCAAAAGGTCCATACCTATTTGAGACTGAGCAACCATAGTAGACTTGCGATCGCACAGTGGAGAGAAGGGAAGCCCTAGTTCTGCTTCTTTGTCACCCTGGAGAAACAAAATTGAGAAGAAATTAGAAAACGACAAGGCACATTGCACTTTGATATCTTAGGTTATGACTGTAAAAGCCTCTCATTTTACTTTATTAAATTTTGATTTTAGTTTGGGGTTTTTTTGTTTGCTTGGGTTTTTTTAATATAAATTGTGGAGAATTTGATTCTGGCTGGAAAAGTTGTAGTCCAGGGAGAAGTTGGTGAATTAAGCATTGTAATTCCAGTGATTCCTCAGAGCTTTCCCTGCCTACTTGGCAATTTTATGCATCAACTAAAAACCCACTTGAGCACAAGAATGCTTCCCACTGCAGTTCTCCAGAGAACCCAGCCAAACTCAGTTCTCAAAGCAAACCTTTCAAGAGAAAACATCAGTGTCAGGACTGATTTTTCAGGGCTTGCACTTCTTTGCATGTCTTTTTTTAGCCTTTTAGATAAGGAATTCACCGGTCATGGTTGGTCAGATGCAGATTACTTTTTTCTTCCAAAGGAAACACTGACATTTTTCTATGACAAAGCAACCTGCTTGGCTGATGTGAGACGAGTGGTGGACATTGTCTACCTGGATTTCTCCAAGGCTTTCAATATGGTTTCCCACAGCCTCCTCCTAGAGAAACTGATGTGTTACGGTCTAAACAAGTGGTCTGTGCAGTGGGTGGGAACTGGATGACTGGCTGCACCCAGAGGGTGGTTGTAAATAGCTCCTTTTCAAATTGGCAACATGTCAGAAGTGGGATGCCCCAGGGATTGATACTGGGCTCAAATCTGTTTAATATCTTCGTAAGTGATCTGGATGATGGGATCACGTGTACCCTGATGAATTCTGCTGATGATACTAAACTGGGGAAGTGGACACTTTGGAAGGGAGAGCCACCCTGCAGGAAGACCTGGATAGGCTGGAAGAGTAGGCTAACAAGAACCTTATGAAGTTCAACAAAGACAGGTGTAAGGTCTTGCACTTGGCAAAATATAATACAAGAGTGCAGCACAGGTTGGGATCTACCCATCTGGGGAGCATCTCTGTGGACAGGGCTCAATATGAGTAAACAGTGTGCTGTTGTGGCAAAAAAAGCCAGTGGGATGCCGAGTTACATCAATAAGGGCATCACTTGCAGAGATAAAGAAGTCATTATCACACTCTACTCAGCACTTGTCAGGCTACACCCTGGAATACTATGTTCAGTTTTGGTCCCCACTACGCAAAAAAGACATGGACAGGCTGGAGACGGTCCAGAGAAGGGCCACAAAGATGATGAAAGGACTGGGGAGCCTGCCATATGAGGAAAGGCTGAGAGAACTGGGTTTATTCAGCCTTGAGAAAGCTTAGGGGAGACCTTAATCATCATGTTCCCTTATTTAAAGGTTGGCTACAAAGAAGATGGAGACTCCCATTTTACAAGAAGTCACATGGAAAAGATGAGGGGTAATGGAGGTTCTGATTGGACACAAGAGGAAAATTTTTCACAATGAGAACAATTAGCCACTGGAATAATCTCCCCAGGGAAGTGGTGGATTCCCCAACATTGGACACTTTTAAGATTTAGCTGGACAGGATGCTGGGCCATCTTGTCTAGACCATGCTTTCGCCAAGAAAGGTTGAACCCGATGATCCTTGAGTTCCCTTCCAACCTGGTATTCTATGAGTCTATGATTCTGACATTGTCAGCATTTTATGTGAGCACTTAAGTACAAAAATCCAAACATGCTTTCCAGTTCTCAGATCTGAAAGTTGTTTTATAACATCACAAGATGGTGCAGAAGATCAAGTGTTATAACCCCACTTCTTTCCAGTCTTTCAAGCTGCATATTCTCAAAAAGCCCTTTAACTTGGTTCAGTCACTCTGTAACAGATTGCTTTATTCTGAGAAGATACATAGGATAACATAGTTGTAATACTCCCCAATAAGCATTCAAATTTACCATAGTCTGTTAAATATACTATACAATCATTCCTTAATCAGCAACTCAATTTAACTGTGCTGAACTTCTTGCCAGTGTACTGACTAATGTCAAATAGAAGCTAAAGTAGCCAGCAAACTAACCAGAGAAAAACTTCTGTAGGCATAAGAAGAGCTGAATTCTTCTTCTTTTTGTTAATACAACATACAAGAAATGGGAGCATAAGTCCTGTTAGAGTTTTGGGTGGGAAAACAAGCAATAGTATTATTTTATTGCAGAACGATTCTGCTTTATGTTAGGAGTCTGATATACAAATATCAGGGTAAACCAGAAACAAAACACAGAAATATTTCCAAGTAACATTCATTTACTGCGTCTGCTGCATCTCTCAGGACAACCATCTCTCAATGCCAGCTCTTACCCAATCATCATCCTTCTCTTGCTTCTCATGCCTCTCAAAAACCCCAGTGCGTAATTCTCTTTAGGAAAGAACCCCTAACTGCCTTTCTGACTGCTCAGAGAGATACTTCTTCTAAGTTGTTTGGGCAGCTCCCTCATGACTAGCTAAAATGCATCAAGTAAAACAAATTAATTCATGCAAGATATTTGGTTTAAGAGATGCTCACCATAAATGCTGAATGTAAAAAAACAGTATTGTATTCAGAAGCATCATTTGCACCTACAGCATGGTTACTTGGGGTAGGAAGACCTGTGTCACATCACAAAATAGAAATCCAATAGGGCTGGGGACCTGCACTGATATAGGTTAAGTCAGGCTTTATGTCTCTGCAGAGCATGTAACAGAAAAGACATGAGAGGGTCTACAGGTGCAGCGCATAAAGAAATAAATACCTAATCTGATGCCAGCCCAGTTTCTTATCACCATGGTCCCTTCTGGATAGTGGTACTTCTCAGCTTGTGAGAAGAGTGTGTGGTGTTCTGCTGTCAAGTAGGTATGTATTTACTGATCTAAATAACTAAATAACTTCAATGAAGTCTATACTTCATGGTAAGCTTGAGGGTTTTTCTGAACAGGGAATTAATACTGCACCTGAATTTGTAACTAGAATATAAGTTTTATATAAAGCTTTATGTAAAAGTAGTAGTATTTTCCATTTAAAACTAAATTAGGACTGGTTGGCTGAAATTAAATTTTTCTTATGAAAACATAAAATAATAATTTTGTCTTCATTACATGTGTAAATCTTGGGGTTTTTGTGGTCTCATCTCTAACTAATCCTAATTCCCTCACCAGTCTTTAGGGGACTCAGCACTGGTGTATTTTAACGTATCTAGTATAATTTTGAAGTAGAAAACCATAGATGTGTGGAGAGCTTTTCCTAAAATGTATGTGAAAATCATCCTACTTGCATAAGCCTCCTGTGTGGCAACACAGAGACAGATGCAGGTACGAGTTACCTGCTTCCACCTACTAAACCCATTCTTGTTTTGAAATACAAATTGAGGATTCATTTCAAAGCAAATTCTTGCAAAGTCCTTATTAAGAAGGGATTCCACAATGCCTTTAAAAACAGATGCCATTTTAACAAAATGTTAGAACTTTTAAAAAATTGTCATATATTTTTCTTTTTTGCATTCAGAATTACTATAAAACATGAAGTTATTGAACTTTGGAGGGAAATGAAGCACTTGGTTTTCTGCATAGTTTAGTAATTCATATTGGTGAAAAGTACCCTAAACACTCCTAAGTGCTCTGTTTACTTTTACTTTTTTTATTTTTTTTTTTCAAGGCAGCTATTTAAATGCTTTTAATTAGTCACTTGGGGAGCTTATAGCTATTACACAGAGCTTAATGATTTGTCTAGATTTGTGGATCTGCCAACAGGCATTCCACTGTGAGCTACAAACTAGATCAGTTCACTTTAGATAAAGTAAGGGCAATGCATTTTTCACATCTACCCCAACACTTTAAGTACAGATCCATAAAGTACAGCTACCTAAATCTGTTTTCTATGGTTCTACAGCTAAGTAAAATGTCATGTAGTCTACATTTTGCTAATTTGAAACACATATTAGCTTCCTAAATTAGAATTTCTATTAACTAGATAATGTCTATATCTATAGGCAGCTTATCAGACACTAACTTCCCAAGAGACATAATAGCCAGTGCTACTTGTGCCAGATGAGAAAGTTTCATATCACTCAGGAGGTTCTTGCATAAATCAGATAAAAAGGAAAAGATCTGTGTTCATATTTTCCTACTTCCTTGTCCAATCCTAAACACTCCCTCTGTGCTGCAGAAATACAGAACTTCCCTAGCTTTACCTGTCTGAAGAACTCCTCTAGCAGAGACATGGTCCAGCGATGATGGAGATCCCAGGCCTTGGCTGGATGACTGATATCTGCTGTATGCAACAACAGTGATAAGGCTTTCGGCTTGTCAATTCTGAAAACCCAAAGGATCAAACAAATTAATTGTCTGCTCTTGCAGTGGAGAATGACAACAATCTCACCTAAGTAAGGAAATGAGGTCATTAGAATCTTTTGCCAGGTTATTAATGGAGTGATTTCTGTGTTCATAAAATCAGACAACTATGAAAGATTGTCTAATTTCTCCAACATACACTGTTCCTGATGTAAAAGAGACATTAAGAAGTCCAAAAAGAAATTTTGCTTAGCCTTGCTGAGCTCCTTTCCAGGCTTGCTTGTCTGCACAGCAGGCTTGAAGAGCTGCTGTGTTCCCCATTTTAGCTCATGTGCATTTTATGCGGTTCAGAAGAGAAGTTGGTCCCTACCATCTTATCATAGTAAACAGTTAGGATCTCATCTCAGGAGCACTGATGAGTCTACACAGTAACTGATAAATGTTTCACTGCTAGAAAACTAGCGTGAGGTCAGAAAGGGATCCTTGCATCTGCTTCCACAGAACAAATAAGTCTGGCAATTTCTTAAAACCATAACCTGAGAGGCTAGCCCAAGAACACAGTAAATAATGCCTTCTTGGGATGGGTACTTTTGTTTTTTTTTACTTCCAGCTTTTGACTGTGATAGCTGGAAGAGTTGTAGCTTTTGAGAGGACCAAGTGGCTAACCACACTCTGGTCTGATACAAGTATAATTCTGGGAGGCTCTGGACAGACCTGTGTCCAGGGTGAAAAAATGACCCTCGCTCAGAGCTTTCTGCAGTATAAAAGGAATTTTATCGGAAAAGCTGTAGACAAAATATTACAGCTCACAGTGGTGTACTGTGAAGAAGAAAAGGCCTTCCCCATACTGCTCTATCTGCTGTTTTCCAGTCCTTTCCTCATTGGATCTCATTGGATTTCATCTGTCCTCTGGTTATGGAGCAGGCCCCTTGCAGAGGCAGCAGGTGATACCATCTGCAGAAGGTCAATGCACAAGTTGTGTTCTGCAGATCTTATAACCTTGAGTCATACTCAAGCTGTAGAGGTCACTCAGCTGGATCAAGCCCTTGATGTTATCCTGACATGCAAAGGGAAATGCTCAGGGAGGCTTATCCCACCATGGTGACCTTTGCAAGCTTCTTTGGTCCACCAGCACAGAACGGAGATGTATGTATAGGGGAATGCCAGTCCACTCCTCAGTGAATCAATTCAAAATTCAATGGAAGAAAGAGAATTGATGTGGACATCAAAGAGAGTGAGGGCCTCTGGAGAGGAGCTTTTGAAGTCAACCACAATGGCAAAGCACCAGCTGAAATACAGCCCCTCACTGCACAGTGTTGTGAAGTGACTCACCCTTCTGGCTGCTGCAAAGCATTCTTCATGGCTTTGATTTGCTGGAAGTGACAGGACATATCAGTGGCCAACACCATCTCGATCACCAGAGCTCTGAATTCCCTTTTGGATGGCATCACGTTGAGAGGAGCAAGGAAAGAGAAACACAAAACCCAGCGTCAGATACACTCCATTTTTTCTGTTATCTATCTGCAAATTATTGACAGTACTCCTGCCTTTGTATGCCACTATTTCCATTATCCCTCTGTCACGGATGAGGAAAAGGATGATTTTCTACACAAACACAGGAGTGGGAGGGCTACAAATTAAGCCAGGCGGCTAATCCTTACTAAAAGAAATTCTAGATGTTTTTTGAAGAGCACATTGGCATTAGCATTCCTTTTTCAATTAAGCACAAACCTCTTAAATTGATTTCCTTTATAGGACATTCTTAGAAGGAAGTAAAAAGGCTGTTTAAAGCCTCGGCATGAATCAAGTGAACTTTTGAACCTGAATCTCTATCCAGTTGACTAAAACTGGTTGATGCCTACTTTGAAAGTTTAGTCATATTGTTAAAGGAAAACCAGAATGTTAAAAAAAAAGTCTCCTAGTGTATATGATGCATACATGTAGTCAGGACCTTTGAGAACCTGCATTACTTCTCTGATATTATTCATTCAAACTATTCCTGTATGAATTTTTCTTGAGTAAACTTGTTTAGGATTCAGTTGAAATTTATTTGAAGATAGTATGACTGTCCAAGAGATTTTAAAATATCAGAACATTCTGACCTAGCACACAATAAAAATTTATTTTTTCTTTCCCTCAGTTCAGTTATCCACAGGTTAATGGAGGAAGAACAGCCCAAGGTTAGCATACCAGCTCATGATTTGGAAGATTCAGAAATGGGTCAGCTTTCATTTAAAAATAAGTTACCATTCTTCTTTTCATGAATGCTTCATGAAGAACAAGGTGTATTTTGAGCATGTCTCTTGCCTCTGATGGCTGTGCTCAAATTCCAGCCCCAGGTCATCTCTGTGCAGAGACTCAAGACTGCTGTGCCTACCCCATGCCACAGGTGGCATGTAATGAGTCCCCCTGCCAGGAGTTCTGCACATACACTAAGATGGCATCAGCTGGCCTTGCTTTTCCCCTGGTATACCCACTTCCTCCATCCCATCCTTATCTATAACCAGTTGCACAGCCAACAGCATTCAAGTTGATGACTATTGTAAATTTTTTGGAATATTTTTTGGCCAGCCATGGTCATTTCCTGGTCTGGTTCATTCCCAGCAGTGCAATCCTCAAAGTCAATACAAGCAAGAGAGGCAGGAGAGGAGAACCTGAATGCATAGAAAGAAACTTTTACCAGAAAAGGGTGCCATTATGCTGTGGGAACAATTAGTGTTTGGGATTATTCCTGGGAAGCACCAGACACTTCACAACGTCCTCTGGAGTGCCACTCCATCATAACGGTCTGCAGGGGCTACTCTGAGCGTAGCTTGTGACAGCAGGAACACAAAAGCAAAGGGCTCAGCTCAGGCAAATGGGTCACTGGCTCCAGCGCCAGCACGTACTTCTGCTCACAAGCACACACATTTTAGTTTCCCTTTCATAGATGTAAACCTGGAATAAGCACGTTCTCTGACCCCTGCACATACTTCAGAAGGTTGTTTCCTCTGAAACAGAGAGGAACAATACTGCAGAGAGCTTAAAAAAGAAAGTATTTTAATACCAAAGGGCTCTTGTTTGTCACTTCAAACATCAGGCGTCACAAGAGCAGGTGACTTTGAAAGGCGTGTGGACACAGGGAATGAATGAGAGGAAACCTCAAAAGACATACGCTAGAGGAGGACAGTTTCTGCATTTGCTGCCAGGTTGAGAGAAGGCCGAAACACATTACAGGGAGAATTGAAGATGGATATTTTTCCATTTCTTGGTTTTGCTTCTCAGTCGGATTGGAGCCTGGGATACACACAGCTTTAGCACTTTGTTTCTGCAATTTCCTTCAAAGCCTCCACAACACATTATGGTGCTGCAGTCTGCATGCAGCACAGCAGCCCTGGCTGAATAGTCCCCAGAAGCTGTTTGCAAGCGGTGTTCCCACTGAGGTATCACTGGGCTGTTTTTAATGATGCTAATAACGCACAAAAGCCTGTTAGTGTTTTGTGATCTCCATGGTATTTCTGCAATACCTTCTTCTCCTTTATTCCCAAGAAGCAAAACCCAATTCTGTATTCAGGAGGAAGTTCACGAAGAACCAAAGTTAATTTGCTCAAAGAGTAATTGTACTGAGTAATTTATTAAGTTGACTCAAGAAAAATTATCCAAGTCTTTAAACAATAGGCAATCTAAAATTGTGCACGAGAAAAGAAGAAATAATGCAATCTGATGAAAAAGGAAGGAGAATTATACCTCTCTAATCTATCAGTTAGATCAAGCTCATAGAGGCAGTCATGCTCTCCAGTTAATCTCCTCCAGAGAGTCACAGTCGCACTGGGATAAGTATTCGCAAGCACAGTCATATCAGAACATTTTCCAATAAAGATAACTTGCCCATGAACTCAGGCCAAGGAAATGCCCTAGAGACAAGCTGCCTTCTGACCATTAAGAGTTAAGTCTACCGTTTTATTGCTGGTCATGCAGCATCATGGCAACAAGGATGGTATGAATATGGAAAAGAATATAGAAAAGAAAATCCAGAATTGTTTTCATTACATGAAAATGACAGTGCTCATCAGCACCTCCTCCCGACCTGCACCGTCTCTCTCTATCACCTAAAATCTAGTCAAAATCAAGCCCAAAGAAAAGATAAACAATCTGCTAAAGATGTGGTCTGAACAGCAGCTGTGGCAAAAAGAGCACGAGCCAAAGGGAGAAAGGAAACCAATAAATAGCAGAGAGATGACACCTTCCCCCATGACACCAATGGACAGTTTTAAAGTCGGTATTGCCTTCTGTATCTATACAAGCCATGAAAGCAGAGGACTGGAACGACACAGGAAAAAGGGGCATGCTGGGATCTACTGTCACTTTGGCAGCACAGGCACAGCAAGCCGTCACCAGCAACACCTTCACAGCCAGCTTAGTTTTCCTTCTTCCAACCCCAGTCAGCAAGAGTTCTGTTTGCAGACTGTTTGTCATTTAGTCACTGTGGAGGAAAGAAAACCACCTCCCTTTCCTGCTTAACTGATGATGTGCTCTCAACAGCTTTTACACTGCTTGAGGTCCATGGGGATCAGCTGATGGGGGAGAAATACCTACACACCTATCCTGGTTGAAGCCCAGATGGCAACTGAGCACCATGTAGCTGCTCACTCACTCTTTCCCCTGCAGGGATGGGGAAGAGAAAATAAAACAAAAGGTGCAGGGATCAAGACAAGGACACAGAGGGATGACCCACCAGTTATGGTCACAGGCAAAAGACGGACTTGATTGGGGAAGAAAAAAGCATCAATTTAATTTGACCACCACCACTGCCACTAATTTACCAATCAGAGTAGGACAGTGAGAAATACAGCCACACCTTAAAAACACCTTCCCCCCACCTCTCCCTTCTTCCTGGGCTTAGCTTTGATCCCAATTTGTCTAACTCCTTCCTCACAGCACCGTGGACTTGAGGGGGGCAGGGTATGGGGGTTACAGTCAGTTCATCACCATTTGTTTCTGCCGCTCCTTTCTCCTCAGGGGGAAGATTCCTCACACTCTTCCCCTACTCCAGTATGGGGTACCTCTCACAGGAGACAGTCCTCCATGATCTTCTCCAATGTGGGTCCTTCCCATGGGCTGAAGCTCTTCACAGACCACTCCAGTGTGGGTCCCTGCCACGGACTGCATACCTCCCAGCAACACTGCTACAGCATGGGCTTCCCTCAGAGTCCCAGCCTTCTTTGGGCGCAGCCCCCTGATCTGGTGTGGGGTCCTCCAACAGGCTGCAGATGGGCATCTGCTCCGCCAGTGACCTCCATGGGCTGCAGAGGGACAGCCTCCCTCCCACCACGGGCTGCAGGGGAGTCTTTGCTCTGACGCATTTCTCCTCCCTCCTCCTCATTTTGTTCCTCTGACCCTGGTGTTTGCACAGGTATTTCCCTCACTCCCCTCCTCCTCTCACTTCAGCTTCTTAAATACGTTACCACCGAGACGCAGCCACTGTCACTAATTGGCTCAGCCTTCACCAGAGGTGGCTTAGACATGGAGCCAGGGGAGCTTTGAGAAGCTTCTCACTGGGGCCATTGCTGTAGTCCCCTCCTGCACGATCAAAACACCACCACACACAACCTCAACACCACACCCCTCACCCTAAGCACGCCCATGAAGAGCCCGTTACCCAAGACCAAATCGGTCCTGCGTGTTTGTCTAGAGTCACGGCTGATCTGCAGGTTGTTTTGTGCAAGGCCTGGGCAGCTCTGGCTTCACCTTCAACCACCCATTAGGTAGCTGAGGCAAGAACTGGCCAGGGACAGTAATCCCCCATAGAGTTTCCCATCCTCAGACCGAAAAACCCACCTCCAAGCCCCAGGCCTGGCATGAGGAGGGGGCCAGAGCTCAGGACACACAAGCGGAGCTGAAGGGCAGTCCCGGTTGCCCCAGGGGGAGCCATTCTGTCAGGAAAGCAAAATGGTCCCCAGAATGGGTCCTTCATGGCCTCAGGGGCCACTGTCCCAGCCACAGCAACTCCCGTTGGTAAGGTCAGCAGCTGCCCGTTACACAAGCTGGCAGCCCTGTGGCTGGCCCACAGCTCTCTGAGCAGCTAGAGCTTCTGACCCCAAGTGTGCTCGGTAGACGAGGACCCGTCAAGGTGAGGCGAGAGCCCACAGTCAGTGGGACGAGCGAGTAAAGTTTCTTGGAACCACTTAGGATGCCTTCACGGCCCTAAAAATGGAAGAGGGCTGACAGGAGCAGCAGCAGCTATGGCAGGGCATGGAGGTCAACCCACCACAGCATGGCGATGAGCCCATGGAGGTGGATCCACCGCGAGAGGAGGAAGAGCCGATGGAGGTGGATCCAGCTGCTGCATGGCTGATGGGGCACTACAGCACCGTGGCCGGGGTGCCTTCCACAGCATGGTGCCCAAAGCACCGCAGGATAGCTGGGTCTCTCGGGGACCCTCCCAAAAGCCACCT